CTGGCTGGAGAAAGGGGTCACTGCTCATTCCATCACCACCCCCACTCCCATTCCCCTGCAAAAGATCCCGTGGGAAAATAGAGCCTCTCCCAAACATCTACAAAACTTGTGCCCAGGGCCCCTGAGCACGAAGCAGCTTCCATGGTGGAAGATATCCCAGAGAGCCGGGCTTCCTTGCTGTTCTGCTTCCCTAAGCCCAGGACCTTCCTGGTCCCCTTAGTGACTGCCCACACCTGAGCTACAGTCGAACTCGGCCAGGTGGTGCCTGGCCGGCAGCAGGGACTGACGACCTGGACAGTAGTCAGCTATCACCATAGCACAAACGTGGACTGGCTGGCTCTTATCCCGGCAGCCCAAACCATTAGCTCAGATTTTGGTCCTTCTGATTCGGAACTGGGCAGGGCATCCTACGAAGGAGCCGTTCCCGGCCCCAACTCCCGTTTACACAGGATGCAGGGTGGGGACGCAAGGTTTTCCTTCCCACTCAGGGCAGAATGGTGGTGGGATTCTGAGCAGTTCCTCTCCATTTTCCCCCCATCTCCTGTCCTTTCGTGAATCCTGCTCGTGTTGTGAGCGGAGAAGCCCAGGGACCAACGAATGGGGGAGACCCCCTTTCCCGTTCCCTGCTCTCCCAGAGCTGCAAAGAGAATTCCTTCCTTCCTTCCTTCCTTCCTTCCTTCCTTCCTTCCTTCCTTCCTTCCTTTTCTTTCTGTTTGCCACCAAAACCAAGCGTGCAGAGCTGTGGCCACACGGAAAAAGGGATGCTGGAAAAAACGGCGTGCTGAGGGTGATAAGCGCCCAGCGGCCCTTGGAAATGAATGCGCAGTCAGGGGACAAGCCTTTCACACCGCCGGCCCCTGGAAAGGCTTTTTCGGGTACTCAGACTCGTCTCCCTCCCGTGGTCCCGCCGCGCTGCTCCCACGTACCCGGCTCCCACGCACCACACGCCCCAGGCGGACTCGCGTCCAAGATCCCCCACGGGAGAAACAAACAAACAAAACACACACCGCGATGGGGTGCAAGGCGGAGGAGGATGCCAAGTCTCTTCTAACATTTTCTTAAAACCGTTTACAAAAGCTAAGATCTCCCACTCTCTTTAGAACTTTCGGGCACCTATTACCAGCGAAGTAGAGACAACAGCAATTCAAATTGGCCTCTTAGCAATGTAATAAAAAATCACTGTAAAAAAAAATACATCGTGTGCACGAAGGGTTGTTTTAAAAGAATGAAGTTTGGACCTTGAATTCGGGCTTTCTGCTGCTTGGATTTTACAGTGGATGTGTGCTGGGGTGGAAAAAAAAAGGAGTAAAAAAAATTTCAAGTCGCTTCATTCCTGCCACCCGCTGCTCTTCCAAAATGGGCCTGGGGTCGTTACAGCAAAGAGGCCCCTGCTTTTCTTTCTCTCCCTCCTCCTTCATTGGTCTGGTCCCCTCGCCCGGCTCCGTGTCGCTGCCTGTTGGGGGTCTCGTGCTAAAGTCCAACAGCGCCAGTAGGAGCTGACGCATTCCGTGGTCTGTGGATGGGGGGCCTGCGGGGAAGACAAAAGTCCCCGCAGTGCAAGAAATGGTGTATCTAAATTCAACAAGCCATCCCTGCCCCGCCCCACCTCCAGCGGCGCCCCAGGGGTCTCGGCCTGATCCGCCTAGCCCATCCGCCAGCCACCGACACCGATGCGGGAAGGTGGCCCGCAGACCTACGCAAAACAAAACAAACCCAAACAAACAACTCCCCCAAATCCCAACCAAACACAAAACCTGCGCTTACCGAATCGAAAGCGAAAGGGGAGGAAGCCGGATTTGCTCCCAGAAGCTTCTTGGGGCGCACGGCTGGGGCCCGGCACTCGCCCGCTGCCAGTCGCGGAGTCGGCCCAGGGTTTGGAGGGTCCGAGACATCGGCGCCCCAAAACTAGTGGTTAGGAGGTTCTTTCTGACAATGAGAAACGAGGGGTTCCCCCACCTGGCATGTGTCCTGGGGCGCAGGTGGCCCAGGACGCGCGGGGGCCCGGTTGGGACTCGGACAGGGCAGGGACACGGTGCGAGCTCCAAGCCGGGTGCGGCGCCTTCGTAAGAGCGCGGACGTCTGCGCGCCCGGAGCGGACTGCGATTTCGCGTCTCAGGCTACCCCATCGCATCGGGAAACGGGGTCGGAGGGGAGGGAAGGGGCTATAGAAGCTGAAGTAAACCTCGAGGACGTTCAACCGCCTTCACCCGCAACTCGGAAAAGGCTCCAGGCGCTGCCTCCAGCCCGGGTCTCCGGCGCGCAGCAGCGCTGAAGGGTTCCTTGGCGGAGCTGCCTTTGGCCGCGGGGACCCGCTCCGCGGAGTAGCCCTTGTGTAGCACTGATGGGCAATCCTCAGCCCTTTCCCGCAAATTCCTGGGAACAACCCCAGCGAGCATCTTCCTAGCTGACTCTTTTCTCCTTCTTTGGTGTGCGCAATCTCTCTCTCTCTCACGTGCTGGAGAGAACCGTGTCCTTGTGGACCTCGGTTTCTCTGCTTGCTGGCATTGCAGAGAGCCAGCTCGATCGAGTGCTTGCCCCCTATAAAGGACCCGCCAGTCTCGATTCCCTCCTCTCTAAGGAGCCTAATGTCTTTAGTGCAAAGTGTGCGCCCAGCAGGGAAAGTCAGCTCACCTGGAAGCCGAGCGTAAACAACTCTGCTTGTTGTTTGCGGCTTATGCTGGAGCCCTCGGCCTCCATCTTGGGCAGCTGGCCCATGCCCGGCCAGGCGAATTCCAGCCTGGCTTTTGTCCCAACCTGAAGTTTCCGGGCTATGCCCTGAACAGGGGCCAGGGGTGGTCCACCCTGTCCTCAAGAATCGGGTACTAGCTTACAGGAGTTCCAAGTTGCACAGAGGCCAATGCTGATGGGCATGTGTTGAGGGCCTGGCGTTCTCACTGGGGGAGTGGGGAACCTTGCAGAGATCACCCCAAATGCAGAGGAGGAAATTTCTTGAGTGGAGCTCTTTGCTCTCAGGCTGTGCTGTGGACTGACACTGTCAAACGGTCCTCCCGGCCCTTCAGCCTAAAAGCCAGGGGAAGCAGAGGAAGGAGCAGGCTGGCATACGCCGTGGGTGGTGGGGAGTGGGGACCCAGCAGGGTTCATCAGGCTGCCCAGGGGAACCAGCCCTTTGGCTGGAACCTGATGGCATGTTCTTAGCGGGAGGTGGGAAGTCACTTGCCAAGGCTCCTCGCTTAACAGTGCCGCCGCTTCCTTACAAAGCTCTCACGAATTTCCCTAAAAGAGGACAAGGCAATGCAGTGGAAGAGAAACCATGAAAAACCATGAGAAACCATGGGCACGCCCGGAACTAGCACTTCCAGAAGCCACAGAGAGCCTGTGACTTGCTCTCATGAAACAGGTCCGGATGATGGGGAGTGATGCTCAGAGGGTGCTGAGCTCCTTGGGGCTGGATGTGCCCATCTGCCCGGAAGGTGGGGAGCACCTGTGTGCCGGTCAGAAGGGCTGTTCCCCATCCAGCAGGAAGGTGGCAAGGGAAGGTTGCGGAAAGGCCACTTCCTAAACTCGCTCCTGGTCTGTCTCTGCAGGGGCTTCAGGAGTCTCAGAAGAGAGGCCACTGCAGTCAGTGGTACCCTGAGTGTAACAGTTCAAGCACCTTGACCCTGAGGAAGAGACTCTGTGTGTGTGTGTGTGTGTGAGTGTGTGTATGTGTGTGTGTAGAACACAGGTTTTCATAAATGCATGGTTGTGTGACCTCTTTAGCTTTGCAACAGGTATGTGAGAAACCTGGGGAGGTAAAAAAAAAGTGTTTTTGGGGGGGCTCCCCCTACCGCAAACGATTCCCACGGGCCAGGCCTCCTCCATGTCCCAGTTCCAGGCCTACAGAACTCCGGCAGGCTCAGAGCTGCGAAGGCGAGGAGGCCTTTTCAGCCCCAGCTTTCTCCTGGGCCTGAAAGTCCGGGCCTCAGGAGGATGGTCTGTCCCCCTCAGGGTTCCCAGGCCAGAGAATACTTCCCCTGCCTCCAGAGCGGATTCTGAGTTATTATTGAAGGCCCAACCGCAGGGGGCTGAGAAGCTCTGCTCACTGAGCCTGAAAGGGCAGAGCCTGTGTCCCGTACACACGGTCAAGGGGGGCTGGAGGTCATTTAGGCCTCGGGTTCCCCTGTGGATCCAAACTAGCTCACAGAACTGCCCTGTACAACCCTGCGCTCCCCAGCCGGTCTTCCGGCTTTCCTTCCGGGTGGGTCCAACATCTTTGTTTCCGAGGCCTGCGGCCCGGTCCGAGCAGGAATGCCGGGGACTGCATTGTGTATCCGCCTTTTCTAGGTGAGCCGCGCTCAAGGCTCTGAGATCTCTGCGGGGTGGGGGTGGGGGGGGTCTCAGGTCTTCCGCCCGGCCCCTGGGGTCTCTAAGCCCCGCACGGCGGCGCAGCACGCCAGCTTCTCCGCATCCCGGCGCGCTCGCTCTGCCAGCTGCGCTGGGGGTGCGGGGTGGGCTCCTAGCCGGGTTCTGCACCTGTGACGCCCACCGGAGGTGCCCCCACGGCGGCGGGGAGCGAGTCCTCGGCGGCCCCGGGCTCCCCGGTACCCCGAGCGCTGCGTCCGCTACCCGCCTGGAACCGCTGCGAATCGTCCTCCGCGCTCCCCAAGCCGGCGCCGCCGGCAGCAGCGCAAAGCGAATCGAAGTTTAGGAAACGCCGGAGAAAGAGAGAAACGAACTCCGCCGGCGGGTGGGTCGAATCACCAAAACGCTCAGCGCTCCGGGTCGGGGGTGGGGACGGGCGGCGGGGGTTCTGCAAGGGCCTTGAAACGCACCCCTCGGTGCGCCCGTGATTTTTGACTTTTTTCTTTTTTTCGGAACTAGAATTACGCTTTCGTCGTTCGTCCCCCTCTAAGCCCCCCGGCGCGCCAACTCTGCGGTGGGTGCGCCGGTCGAATGCGTTGGGTGGGTACCGGAGCATCGCTCCCCGCGCCCCGCGTGCCCGTTACTCCCCGGAAAACCCCCCTTCCCCCCTCCCCCTCCACCTCTGCACGTGCACTCACCGTAGCAGGGGACCTGCAAGGCCGCGCCGTGGCCGCCGCTGCCCTCCTGGCGTTTGAGGCTGCCGTCCGGGGGCGTCTTGCAGGCGCCTCGCTGCAAGTAGAGATGAGACTGCGGGGCCGGCGGCTGGGGCTGCGGGGGCTGCGGGGGCTGCGGCGGCTGCGGCGGCGGCGGCGGCTGCTGCTGCTGCGGCGGCGGCGGCGGCGGTTGCGGGCCGGGAGGCTGCGGCTGCGGCTGGAACTTGTTAAAGGAGCCCCGCGCCCCCGCGGCCGCTTCCAGGGACGCCCCCAGGTCCTGCTGCCCCGCGCCGCCTCCGCCTCCGCCGCCTCCGCCGCCGCCACCGCCGCCTCCACCGCCGCCTCCGCTGCCGCCCGCGCCGTAGCGGGCCCGGCTTTTGGCGTCGGCGAAGCCCGGCCCTTTGGCTGCGGCCGCGGCCAGGAACGCGGCGCCAAACTTATCGCCGCCCGGGTAGGCGCGGAACGGCGACGAGCCCTCGCGGCTCTGCGACACGGGGCTGTAGTAGGCGTCCATGGCAGCGGCCGCCGAGTCGCAGTACGACACGCAGGTCTCGGCGTTCATGCCGCTGCGGGCGCGGAGCGCCGGGGCGCGCGCGGCGCCGGGAGTTTGGAGAGGCCCCGACGGACGCGCGGGCGGTGCGCTCCTCGCCCGCCCGCTCGGGGGGTCTCCCGGGGCTCGGCCGCTCTCTCGCTCTCGCTCTCTGCTTCTTCTCCCTCCCCTTCCCCTTCTCCCTCCCTACAGCTGAACCGGAGAAAGAACGGAAGGCGGCAAAAAAAAAAAAAAAAAAAGATTCAGATGTTTTCGGAAAGTTGACCAGATCTCCCAAACCCTCTTAAGGTTTTGAAGCGGAAAGAGAACGAGAGAGAGCGCGCGCGAGAGCGAGCGAGCGAGAGAGGGAGAGGGAGAGAGAGTGAATTCCACCCCCCTCTCTCCTTCCTTCACCCCTCCTCCTCTCTCCCTACCCTCCTTCCTCCCGCCCCTGCGCCTCCTTTCCTCGCGGTTCAGAAGATGCTACCCGCTCGCTCGCTGGCACGGGCTGCATCCCGGAGGCGCCCCAGGGTTTTTCCGATTCGAGGCGGGGACCGCGGAGGTGTCAGTATCCCCCAGGGCTCCCCGAGGCTCCGTGAAGAATCGGACGGGCCCAAGCTTTGGCGAGGGAAGAAGGGGGCTTGGGGGAGAGGGTGGGGCGGGTGGGGGGGGGGAAACGGGGGTCGTACAGAAACTTCAGCGAGTGATGGAAAAATGAAAACGCACAGGTCTTGGCGTTTGGAGTTTGGACGACCCGCGCTCGCCTCCGAGTTGCAGGCGAGTCCTGAGGATTTTTCTGGGAGAATTTGGCGGCGCGGCTGCGGGCCTTCGCCGCGGCGCCTCTTCCTGCTGCGCGCCCGGACCCCTGCCCCGCGCGCGGGTCCTCGGCAAAATTCACGCGCGCGCGCGCACGCCCTCGCCCTCGCCCCCCACCCCACCCCACCCCCACCCCGCGACTCGGTCACTTTCACGTCCGGTTCACCTTTCCCCTCCCCTATAAGGGCGCGAGGGAGTGGGGGCCATGGGGGCGCATTGCCTCGGAACCCTGCTGCTCTCTTACCCCCGCGGGCTGGAACTCCACTGCCGTGACCAGTCAGGCGGGATTTTCCAGCCTCTGGGTGGGCTGTGAGGATTTGGAGACCCACTGGCCCGTTTGCCGCGGGAAGATGGGGAATAACCTGCTCCTCTGGTACAGGTGGGGGCGAGACCGGCTCCTCTCCCTCCGGTTTCACTGTTCCTGGATGCTTTGGATTTTTTTCGGGGTGGGGGAATGATGGGACCGTTTGTGGTGGTCCTCACTGCAGCTCGCCTCAGTGCCCTGGCACCAGCCACGACCAGGGGATAGTTCTTGGTTGGTATGTGAAGCCCTCACCACACCACTAACCATCCAAGATGCCTCACCAATACCCGTGAGGGTCGGATACAAGGGGCCCTCGGATTTTCCCTGCAAACAAATCGGGGCTCAGAGAGGCATAGTTACCAAGGCGAGGTCACACAGCTGAGACTCACCGTGCTGCTTGGGAGCCTCTGCGGAGAGGCAAGTCTCTCCAGCGCTGCAGTTTGCAGCCAGAGGAAAGGGAGGCGACAGAGGGGCGCTGAGAAGGTCGTCCGGAGAGCGACGGGGGAGCAGTTTCTTCACTAAAGGGCAGGGGAAGCCTGGAAGGGCGGACACTCCAGCGAGACCACGACAGGGTGAGAGGTGAAAAGGCAAGGAGAGAAGGTTCGGGAGCACCCCTGAGCTCCGCAGGTCACTCTCTCGTAAGGAAGGTCTCCTGGAGAAAAGTCCATGAGGGGGCCCTCTCTCCTCAGCCTCCTTGGGGCTAACCCTCATTCCCTCCACATCTCAGCTCCTTGTTTTGCCTCTGACTTGGCGATCGCACATCTGGTTTCCATCGCGGTTTACCTTGAAGTTCTCCTTAATAAAGATATTCCACAAACTTTGGCCAGGGGTGTGCAGATCTGAACCCCACCCCACCCCACCCCACCCTCCCCAACCCACCCCCAAACCCATGGGGACCTGCGCCTTCCTGGCCCCAGGATCCATGTCACTTGTGGATCACAGATACACGATCATAGATTATGAGCGCTGTTGGCCTAAAGAAAGTCACCTGTGGCTTCCTCGCCAGTCACCCCTCAGCACGTGCATAGCTCTGTCTACCCATTTTGCAGATTGCTAGATGCAAACTCAAGTCAATTGGTCTCCTAACTCCAGAGAGCCTCCCTCCCTGGCCACACTGTCATCCTCCCAAATGCATCCCCTCAGAAGAAATGTCTTTCCTTTCTCAGAGTCTGCCCAGTTCTGCAGCGCCAGGCTTTCCTTGACATAGGACTCCCCAATCTCACCCATGTATGTTTGTCTTGCTAAACATTTCGGGTTCAGCCTGGGAGTTCCTCCCTCCAGGAAGCCTCATCTTTCCCTATCTGATTCTGGGACACCCTCCCCCTTTTTTTGCTTCCCTGTGTTGGAGCAATGTGCATGCTACCCACTATAGTTGGGGGTTCCAGAGGGTCTGTACTATGTCAGGTGCACCCACACACACAATAGTTCTGGAATAAGAATGTTGAAGCTGGAACTGTTGCACCCTGAATCTAAGGACTAAATCTGTTTCCTTATCCCCTTTCGAATCAAATGACAAAAGCAGCTGACACCTAGGGATAGTAGATACATGGGACAGATAGATTGCTCCATAGCTGGAAGCCTGCCTGCCTCATGAGCAAAGGGGAGAAGGCAGCTGGAATAGAGAAGGGATCACTAAGAAAAAGATGGCTGGAGGAATCGGTCGGGATGGGAGATGTGTGCAGAAAGTAGATAAAGGACCAAACATGATAACCTCTCCGGGTCTGTATTTCAAACCATAATACCCAAAAGTAGAGAGAGATTATGAGGAATCATGTCTGCCATGGAGGTAGGGAGAAGGTGGGAAAGGGGGGGTATACCACGGATATTGGTGGTGGGGAATGTGCACTGGTGGAGGGATGGGTGTTTGATCATTGTGTGATTGTAACCCAAACATGAAAGTTTGTAACTATCTCATGGTGATTCAATAAAATTTTTTAATAGATGATGAAAGCAAGAGCTTTCCGGACTTTTCCCCCACCTACAAGAGCAGTGATCTGTTCTCTGCCTGAGCAGGACCCAGGCCTCTCTTGTCTCCAGCAGAGCTGGACGCTCTGGAGGTGCTCGTAAAATGTGTTAAATTTATGAATGAAAATGCATGTGATCTCAGAGGTACCTTTTTGCCAAGGAGTTGAAGTGAGCAGACGGCATTCCTGGCTGCAAGCAGCCAGAGGGTGGAGACACTTTCTCCGTTTCCCTTTCCCTCTGCAGTACCTGATTCAGATACTGGAGGGACAGTGAGGAAGGAGGTGTCTGGGGTGGAATGGAGGAGGTGCTCCTGCTCCCGGACAGGATTGGTCGCTGGGACACTGGTCTCAGGCAGCCCTTTTCACTGCAGAAAATCCCGCAAATCCAGGAAGTTTTCTTTGCAGCTGGCTCTTCCAAGCTATTTATCCCATGGTTTTATAAACTGCTTAACTGCATAATTCAGTCATTTTATCCAGTTTATCTCAGTGTTCAACCTCTTTTTGGTCTCCTGAGGATTTCATATTCCTGAGCCCTGGGGTGCAGAATTGGATGTCTTGGCTAGAATCCCTCCTGGTGTAGGACATTCTGAGCATGTTATCTGTTATCAGTTTATGATCTGAAAAAAACTGCAGAAAACCCCTTGAAAAAACTTTACCAGAGAGAATGTTGGTCAGTGTAGATCATTATTTCTCTGTGTGAATTAATTTGTTCATCTCCTCTGCTCATTCATCCATACGTCCATCCTTCCATCCATTCATCCACCTATCCATCCATTCTTCCACTGATGCATTCTTTCATCCACCCAAACATCCACCCACCCATGCATCCACCCATACATGCAACCATCCACCCACTCACACATCCATCCACCCATCCATTCATCCATGCAGCCAACCATCCAACCACTTATCCATCCATTCATTCATCCATTCCATCATCCACCCATCTATCCACACATCCATCCATCCATCCATTCATCCACCCACTCACACATCCATCCATTCAACCATCCATTCATCCATGCAGCCAACCATCCAACCATTTATCCATCCATTAATTCATCCATTCCAACATCCATCCATCCATCCATCCATCCATCCATCCATCCATCCATCCAATAATCCATCTATCTTCTCCACTTTTTTCTCCTAGAAGTCACAGGACAATTTCCAGCACTTGGACAACTCCGAGAGGAATGAAACTAGTTCTTCGCACCCCTCTACCCCCTGCTTTGAAGAGGAGATACTTTGTGGAGGGACCAGTGTCACCTCCTCTAAGAGACCTGCCTTCATTACCCTAGTGACTTTGTCATAGCTGCTCAACAGACTCCAGTCTGATCGCACACCATATCCCCACTGTTGACTTACTTGGTTTATTGCCTGTCTTCCCAATAGAATGGGGGACCCGTGGCTACTACCTCCCTTGTGAATGACAGTGCTTGGACACATAGCACTGGTCAGCAATGACCCATCAAGTGAACAGCAGAAGGAGAAAATGAAGCAGAGCATGAATAGATTCACAAATAGAGTAACGAGAGTCAAGTCCAGATTTGGGGGATAACTACCAGGGGCAGAGGAAGATAGCCCAGGTAGCACAAATAGGGATGCTCAGGGCAGGACCCGGCCCCTGACCCTCCCGTTCTGCAGCTCAGGGTAGTCAGCCTGTATCTTCTTCCTGTTCCGACTTCCCCAAGCCTGACTTCCAGGGAGAGCGATCTGGGCTTCCCACCCATCTCGCCTGTCCACACTTCTTGGTTCCAAGTTGCTATTCAATTTTTTGTTTGATTGGGGATGGGGCTTTCACCCGGCAGTGCTTAGGGCTTACTCCTCACTCTGTGCTCAGGGGTTACTCCTGGAGAGGATCAAAGGGCTACATGCAGTGCTGGGGTTGGAACCTGGGCTTGCCTTAGCAAGGTAAGCATCTCCCCCCTCCCACTGTCTCTCTGACCCCCAAGTT